CGGACAGCACTACGACTTGTAGAAGTAGTATTCTTGGGTAGATCTGGAAGATCTTCACAAAAACCGGGCTCCTCGCGGGCAGGGCTTCGGCTCGGGAATCTCACTTCTCGGGATCTTCGGGACTTCGGAACTTGCTTCGGGGCTCGGGAATGATATCGGGGCTTCGGGATATAATTGGCACGCAAATTGAGGCAAAAACTTAGAGAGAAGAAAGAAAATGAGCAAAGAAAATGCCTGATATCGGTTTCTATTTATAGGCTGTTGGGTCTGGGATTACACTGGGCGTAATTTTGGTTATGCTGGGCGTACGCTTCATATAAGCTTTAGTATGCGTGCCACGATCTTCAAAAATTCATAACTTTCGCATACGAGCTCCATTTTCGACGTTCTTTATATCCACGCGTAGGTGAGATTATGCTCTACAACTTTCATTTAGACTATGTTGGCTAATTTGACTTTATTTTTATTATATTATTTTTAGTAGGCCTTGATAGGAAAGCTTCGTTATAAGTTCACAACTTTTTCATCCGACGTCCGTTTTCGTCTGTCTTTTTACCGTTGGACTACTATCAACAAGATCTTCGATTCTCGTTTAGATTGTTTCAGCTAAAAACCGCTTGATCTCAAATCGAGTATTCAGTTGCATACCGCTAAGTCGAAACTTAGAAAAATCATAACTTCCTCATACGAAGTCAGATTCGGATGTTCTTTTTATGCACGCTCATGGTTTAACGAATTCTACAACTTTTGTTTAGATTGCTAAGGCTAAATGTCAATCTAACGTAAATTCAGTTTTTACGTTATTCAGCGTCGTGCCAGTTCTGTCACGAAACTTCGACGGGTCATAACTTCTTCGTTATAACTCGGATTTCGGCGTTCTTTATATGCACGAAAACCTTGTGACATATACTACAACTTATTTAATATTATTCATTCTAAATAATCTTCTATCAAAAATACATTTTTGACGCTTATCGTTTATAAATTGACTAGCCCTAATCTACGGGCGTTACATTTTCACTCGGACATACATATGGGCGTGTCCTAGTACACTTATCGTACTCATATGTACACCCGACATACTACTCATGCTTCCAAAATTACCATTTTGCCACTAAGGCTTCACATGGCCACTTCTTTCCAGTCCAAGGACCAAAAATGACATAATTAAAACCCAATGGATGAATTTTAAATTAATTGAAAGCTATGGTGTTACATGATTATTCTCTGTCTGTTTAATTAGTATATGTTGATGATATTATTTTAACTGGAAGTCATGAATGTGAACTTCAAAAGGCCAAAGATTTTATGAAAATTCAATTTTTGATTAAAGATCTTGGCATTCTTAAATATTTTCTAGGAATAGAAGTTGTAAACCTTGATCATGGGTTGTGTTTAAATAAGAGAAAGTATTGTATTGAGCTATTGCATGAATATGATATGCTTGGGTGTAAGCCGCCAAATACACCTTTAGAAACCAATTTTGTAATAAATTCGAGTGAGTGTGATAAAGGAGATGACTTGTTGAATAATAAAACAGAATTTCAAAAGCTTATCGGAGAACTAATATATCTTACTATTACAAGACCTAATACATGATATGTTGTTTAGGTCCTTAGTCAATTTATCTACAAACCCAAAAAGTCTCATTTGAAAGTTGCTTTTAGATTATTGAGGTATTTGAAAAATAATCCTATAAAAGGAGTTGCATTAACTAAGTCAAATAGTTTTGAACTTAAAGGGTTTGTTGATGAAGATTGGGGTAAGTGCCTGACTACTAGAAAGTTTGTAACAGGTTATATGGTGTATTATAACAATTCCTTGATTTTGTGGAAGAGTAAGAAACAATCTATTGTTTCTAGATCTTCTACTGAATCTGAGTATAGAGCTCTTAACTCTATTACATGTGGAATAATCTGGATTTTGAAAATATTGAGTTGGATATTAAAGATATTATTCCTGTGCGAGTTTTTTATGATAATGACTCAACAATTAAGTTAGCTCTTAATCCTGTTTTTCATGCAAGGACAAAGAATTTAGAAATTGATCTACACTTTGTTAGAGAAAAAAATTTCTAATGGAGTGTTAAAATTGATAAAAATAAATTATTCTGATCAAAATGCTGACATTCTTATTAAATCTTTAAGTATCAAAAAACATAGTTTTTTTTGTCAAACAAGATGGGTCTTATAGATATTTTAATAAAAGAAAAATAATAAATATTTTGATTGAGAGGGGGGGGGGGGGGGGGGAATGTTGAAAATAATAAATATTTTTAAATACTATCTCATGTTTATTGTTTTTCTTTTAGGAGTTAATTGTAATACATTATGAAATAAGGGGAAGTTGTGTTAAATTTAAGTTGTATTGGATTGTGAAAGGAAATTTACAAGTTGAAGCATGCGAGTTTATTCATGGATCAAGTTAATTATGTCCGGGTTCGGTTCATATTTGTGAACTGTGGTATAAAGTTGGAGAGAGAGAGTGAAGGAGTTCATTGATTCAATTATTTTTTTAGATCAAATTGTTAGGGTTTTCTCTCTCGTTATCTCTCTCATTTTCCTATCTGTTACGCTTACACTCCGCTCCTTAGTTCATTTTAAGGAGAGAAAAGTAAGGAAATGCGTGGAAATGAGAGGAAAGTAAAAGAAATTGGTATTCCCGAGTTTCATTAAAGGAAGAAGTGGAAGGAAATGGAATGATCATTTTCCCTCCTAATTTTCCTTCCGATTTGGAAGGATTTGAAGAGAAAGAACAAAATGTTTAATTTTCCTTCAACCTCTCTCTAACTCGAGAACAAAAAAGATGAATTTTGTTTCCTTTCTTTTCTTTGCAACAACTCGGGGAGCAGGGTGTTAGTGTTTGTACTCAAATCTTTGTATATACAACTGTTAGATGTGTTTGTATGATAGTTATAGATTAGGATGAATGATCAATTTGGATAGTAGATTAGGGTTTGTGTAGTGAGTTTTGCGTTGTAAGTATCTTGAAAACCTTCTGTTTCTTAATCACCAAATGATATAAGAAATGATGATGTTGAGAATGTTTGATTTATCTGTTTCAACACTTTTCTCAAGCTCTATAAACACTGCAAGTTATAGTGTATTGTTTCTCGGCTCCCCCCGCTAGTGGTTTTTTCCGTTTTGAGTTTTGCACATAAATCTGTGTCTTATTTTATTTACCGCATCATTATTCTCGTTGATGGTAGTTTACGTTTGATATCTTAATTCTATTATGTCTGAGTTAATATTATTCTTAATTATTTAGATTCTTGACGTGGTTTTTCATTCACGTTCACTAGAAACACCATAATTTTATTCTAAATCATTAGAGAACACTAAAAAGCATGAATTTTATTTTGGAAAAATTTAGAATTTTCCAAGGAGTTTGTGATTCTAAACAAAATATAGATTTGACTCAAGGTATTTCGCAAAAGTAAAAACACAAAAACGATTACTTTCAAAAAAGAATACTCTTGACCAGCTTTGCATATTATTTGGTGATATTTTGTGATAAAAAAATGAATGATTAGTTTGTGGTATTCTATAAAAGTTTTATTTTGAAACAAATAGAAACACCAAAAGATGGGCATCAACAAGACAATGATGTGGAGGGGCTGACCTTGGTTTGTTCAACATTTCTATGAAGTCAAAGTATTCAATGTAGAGTTGGCTAAAACAGATACTATTATATATATATATATATATATATATATATATATATATATATATATATATATATATATATATATATATATATATATATATATATATTATGGGTCCTACAAGACAATAATGTTGACAATTCTTAGAAGCCGAAATTATTCCACAAGAATGTTAGAAGGTTTTTAACTTTTAAGCCGTAGGCATGAACGAATTATCTTATAAATGATAAAACCATATTGATTTTATTTTTAGAAATATTTATTTCTGACTCGAGTCTATGTAATTATTTTCACACTTCAGAACAATAACTAAAGTGTATCACATCATGAGCATATAGGCCATTTTATTTTTAAATGTGCATACAAAAAATAACATGAAAAATTATGTATACGCTCTATCAACAATGGACGTGTTCGGCAAAAATAGCCGTTAGCGTGTAACTTTTAGCTGGTTGCGTTTTGGTAAACGCTGTGTGAAATAACATTTGGATTAAAAATGTTTTGTTTAAACTAAACACTAGAAGCTCGTAGTGTCAAACGAAACTTTCTGTTCAAAACGGAGCGTTTTTATCAAACGCTAGAAGCTAGAAATTTTCAAACGCTCACTGCCAAACACGGCCAATGTATTCCCATAACATTAGCTTATTTTGTCTTATTAAAAGGGGTTTTTATATTTAAATTTTTAAATAAATGTATAAACTGTTAAATATTATAACTTTTATTTATCAAATAGGTTTTAGCCCAACGGTATCAACTATTGCTCATCTCCTTAAGGTCGATGGTTCAAAACCCTGTCCAAGATATAATTAAAATTATGACTAGATTTGTTGTTTAGAAAAATATATATTATAATTTTTACAAAATCAGAAAAAACAAATAATTTATGTTTTGTTTTATAAAAATTATAGATAAGGAAGACTATATTTTAGCATTTAAGAAGATGACTATATTTTAACCATACACTAAAAAATATTAAGTTTATTTATTATGTTTTAGTATAAATAACATATCTTTTATTATGTTATTTTATTAAAACATGTTAGTTATAATATACATTTTTTTTTTTTTTTTTTTTTTTTTTTTTTTAAGCCCGTTCAAGATAAAATGATCTTTTCAAACCCATATTAAATATCATATTCAACGTGAAATCAATTTAAAGCTGCAATAATTTTTTTATTTGGAATTTTGTATATTTTAAATCATCAGCAGTAATAGAAGCTTTAGACGAGACACACGAAGGTGGATCAGGTGAAGCACTATGAGATCGAGGTTTAAGAGTTGAAGGTTTAACTCTTTTGTTGGGGTAACCAGAAGGTGAAGCAACAAAAAGTGGTGGCTAAGTAAAATGCTCATTAATATGATTAGAAAAATAATCATCTTCATATATGTTAACGGAAATGGCATCCATAAGCTTTAGTGATGTGACATGGAAAGAAGATGATCCCTGTCCCGGTGGTGTTTGGGATGTGGCATAACTGAGATTACCAGATGCACTGTTTCCATCAAAGAGTTCTGCACAAAGCTCTGGAAACAACAATGAGACGGTTTTCAAAGAAGCTGCTTTCTGATGTCCCTAAATCCAATCAATATAACAAAAGTAATATCAGAATTAATGGCAACTATATAAACAATATACATATAAAAATGTGTGTGTGTGTGTGTGTGTGTGTATATATATATATATGTATATATATGAGTTAGGTTCATGTGAGACTGTCTAATTTTGTGAGACCGTGAGACGCATTTTTTTTATTTTTTTTAAGTTAATTCAAGTTCCGAAAATAATATTTAAAAAAATAAATTTTGGATTTTTCCATTTATTTTGCATTTTAAAATTATTTTTTTAAAATATGTACAGTGTAATATTCTATTAGAATATTTCACGTATTTTTTTTAAAAAAAAAAGGACTTTTTTTTAAATTTTTTTTAGTTAATTTAAGTTCCGAAAATAATATTTAAAAAAAAGAATTTTTAGATTTTTTTATTTATTTTGCATTTTAAAATTATTTTTTAGAATATGTCAGTATAATATTCTATTAGAATATTTCACGTATTTTTTTTAAAAAATGGGATTTTTATTATTATTATTTTTTTCTTAGTTAATTCAAGTTCTGAAAATAATATTTAAAAAAACATTTTTGGATTTTTCCATTTATTTTGCATTTTAAAATTATTTTTAGACTTGGTCTCACAAAATTATAATGGTCTCAAATGAACCTAAACACACACTAAAGTATGTATTATATATTTATATATATATATATATATATATATATATATATATATATATATATATATATATATATATATATATATATATATATATATATTGTTATTAGCAATGACCAAACAAAATGTTTATTGCTCACTTGTATTGAAGAAGTACAAACTCTGGGTAGAAAAGGTTTGAGTTTGCACAAACAATCATGACACAAGTTAGGAACATCCATTAAGGAGAAGTATGGCGTGGATTTGAATCAACGTTCTCACATTAAATAGTGTTCTCATTTAAACTTAACCATATATATATATATATATATATATATATATATATATATATATATATATATATATATATATATATATATATATATATGGTTAAGTTTAAATGAGAACACTATTTAATGTGAGAACGTTGATTCAAATCCACGCCATACTTCTCCTTAATGGATGTTCCTAACTTGTGTCATGATTGTTTGTGCAAACTCAAACCTTTTCTACCCAGAGTTTGTACTTCTTCAATACAAGTGAGCAATAAACATTTTGTTTGGTCATTGCTAATAACAATATATATATATATATATATATATATATATATATATATATATATATATATAATACATACTTTAGCAACAAAGATTAATCATATTTCAACATAATCAACAAATAAGTTTGACATATTCAACAACAATGTATTATGAATGAACAAAAAAAACCATATAACCAAAGATTATACAACACAATCAACAAAAAAGTTTAGCATATTCAACATATTTAAGCACAAACTTGCATATAAGCATAAACTTGATCTCCATTCAACAAATACAAGTGATAACAATTGAGAAAATAAGTTAAAAAAATCCATTTCAACAAAGATTTTACCAATGATTATTCAAATCTCATCAATAATTTTTTTCTGATGAAAGAATGAAAACTGTATTGAATTAATCAATCAAATAGCAAATAATAATTTCTTATAAAATCTTTCATATTTATACATGGTAAACACACATGTTTTCGTTACATCAAAGATGGTTCATTCAATTCAGCCAATCATTACTTTATCACAGAAGCTAGCTTTGAAACAAACGAATATGCTTTTTCATTGCCTTGTGATGATTCATTCCATTCTTGCACAACAAAGTGGAAATATGATAACACTATTGGTAGGCCAAATCGTCCAAATAGAATATCAATTACCATTTTCACCAAATAGAATATCAATTACCATAGAATCGGTATCCTATAAGAAATTAGAAAAGAAAAAAAAAAAACTTAACCTGATGCGAAGGGTGTTGAGAACGTGCACTTGGCAGCAGCACCGACGACCGGCAAGGGAGGGGCAGCGCCCGGCTGGCTTCGGTCTTCAATAGGACCGATCTTGGTGCTGAGAACAAAGAAGGAGAACGAAGAAGAAGAAGAAGAAGAAGGGGGTTGGAGCGGCGATTTTTTTGTTTAGGGCGTGCACTTTTTTTTTGTGTATCGTGTTTTTTTTAGATGAGGTTATAAGTGGTTAGATGAGGCAAGTCTAATGTTGTGTGGGGAAGAGGACGGGAAAAGGTTTTTGAGCCCGAAGTCTACGGAAAAACAAACTGCTGCGAACCTAAAAGTGTTGCGCGTACTAAGAGGTTAGAAGAGTTTTTTTTTTTTATTTATTTTTTTTTTATTTTTTATTTATTTATTTATTTATTTAAAAAAAACAAACACAACCTAAATGTGACTTTGATTCGATCAATAACTATCAAACAATACTTAGATGAAGTCTTGAAGATACTCTTAGTTTTATTTTAAAAAAATCCGATTATTACTTGTAATTTTATATCCTAGAAATTCTAGACTTTTTATTTTACATCTATTAAACATTCTTCTAAAAAGCTATTTCATGATTACACATTCACCTATCAACAATCAATCATACACTTCCATCCATACATTTAGGAACCAAATGTCATACATCCTTTTAGTCTTAGGATTCTCAACTTGGACAATTCCAATAAAAATAAAATATGAATATAATTTTCTCGATTTCCTCTTCAAACAATGAACAATCTACAACTCATAAGCATCCCCATGGAATATTTTTCTTACATTTTGCTATTAGTACACAATTATTTTTAGCTCATTTTCAATATCACATCAATGAAAACCAGATCCAAAATCATGGGTTTTTCAAAGCTTTTCATGTTACCCTTTTTTTCATCCATTATGCTACACAATTATATTGTCATTCATGCCCTTGAAAATGCCGATATTGTCATAGGTTTCACTGAAGATGAAAGAAATGCTCTTTTGGCACTCAAAGATGGTTTTCGTAGCACTTTTCTTGATGACCAATGGCAAAGCTTCGATTGTTTTGATCACTGGTATGGAGTCAATTGTAGTGACAATAGAGTCGTTGGTGTAACCCTAGAGAATCTTGACATCTATGGCGAAATCAAGCTTGATGCTTTTTTCAATCTCACTTCGTTATCAGTTTTAAGCTTCAAGAACAACTCATTATCTGGTGAACTAATGGATTTTTCAAGAAACATAGATCTCAAATACCTTGATTTCTCTAGCAACCATTTTAATGGCTTCATTTCACCTTCACTTGTCGATCTGGTTCTTCTACAGTCATTGAATCTCCAAGATAACAGGTTGTCTGGTGCGATTCCATGGTTTGATCAATCAAGTTTGAAAGAACTTAATCTCTCAAACAACAATCTCTCAGGACCAATACCAGATACGAAAAAACTTCAATCGTTTAACTCATCTTCATACGATCATAACTTATTTTTATGTGGACCACCTTCTTCTACACCCTGTAGCTTCACATCACCTGCGACAGGTAATTCCGGTAAGCCGGAGAAGTCTGGAATTGTTGCGATTCTGATTATCGTGAATATTCTAGGGTTGTCGGTTCTTCTTTTTCTGTTGATACTGTTCTACAAAAAGAACAAACAACTTAATCGGAAGATCATGGAGAAGAAGGAGGAGAAGGATGAGGAAAAGGCGGAGGAGGAAGTAGAAGTGGAGATATCAAGTAAGATGATGGATCGACATGAAAATGGGGGGAAGGAAGATGAAGGGAAGCTTGAATTCGTTGATGGGGTGGCGGAGTTCGAGCTTGGGGATCTGATGAAAGCATCGGCGGAGAGTTTGGGAAAAGGGAACTTCGGGAACACGTATCGAGCTCGATTGGAAGATGGTCGGAATGTGATTGTGAAGAGGCTGAGGGATTTGAAGCCATTAAGCAACGATGAATTCATGAAGATGATGAAAGGAATTGCAGCTCAGAAACACCCGAATTTGGCGCCAATTCTTGCTTATTATTTCTCCAAAAACGAGAAGTTGTTGGTGCAGAAATTCATACCTAACGGGAATCTTTTCAAGCGTATCCATGGTAACTATATTAATCGATAAAATATAAAAATTTATGTATTTTGCACTTTTAATATCTATTTAAAAAAAAATTAATCGAGTTTGATTTTTCTTAATATAGGAGGAAGAGGGACGAGCGATCGAATTCCATTCCGATGGAGTGCAAGGTTAGCCGTCGCACGAGGAGTAGCTCGAGCCTTGGAATACTTACACATGAACCCTAATTCCGAATCCCAAACCCTAGTTCCTCATGGCAATCTCAAATCATCCAATGTTCTCATCGACGAGAACAACATGGTTCTAGTTTCCGACTACGGGTTCACCTCAATCATCTCAAACACAATCGCCGTTCAACGGATGTTTGCCTTCAAATCGCCGGAATTCCTAACCTCCAAACGGGTCTCAAAAAAATCCGACGTATGGAGCTACGGGAGCCTTGTAATGGAGCTTCTAACAGGGAGACTTAGTGTCCAATCGGCTCCACAAGACGAGAACGCCGTGGATCTCTGCAATTGGGTTCATCGTGCTGTTCGTGAAGAATGGACAGCTGAGATCTTTGATCTGGAAATCATGGGGCAAAGAAGTGCGACTCATGGGATGTTGAAATTGTTGCAATTAGCTGTTCGTTGTTGTGATAAATCGCCGGAAAAGCGGCCGGAGATGAGTGAGGTAGTAAGAGAAGTCGAGAGCATTAAGATCCCTAATGCTGATTCGGAAAGTGAAGAAGATTTGTCTGGTGATGGTGATCGTTCGTTGACAGATGATTCCATGTCTGCAACCCCATCAAGATGATCACGATCTCCATCTCAAATCATTTATGTGAATTGTAAGGGTTCATATGGATCTATGGTACAAAGTTGTTTGAATTTGGAGAGTTATTTATTTGGTTAACGTATGTAGTTATAGATGTTGATAATAAATCGCGATGTAGTTTTGTGAATTCTATCAACTTTCACATGTCAATTTAAATAAGTTTAAAAGTAATTGTGGCTGTTAATAATGGGTTAAATTGCTCACAATAACAACATACTTTGCAATTGCTACAAATATTAACTTATAATAGTGATGTATTTGTATTTTGTTACCAATATAGATGTTATACATTGTTGTTATCGGTAAATTAACATGAGTATGATGTTATTACGAGTGAAGAATTGTAAGTACATTGATATTATGTGTATTGGAAGATATAACTAGGTCCATCGTATATAAAAATTGATTTCTTGATTAGCTTTCAAGTAGAAGATTGTTGATTTATGAACTATAAGTAGGGATGAGCATTTTTATTGGGGAACTAGCCGGAATCGGAATCGGATAGAACCGATTGGGTAAGGACTGGACGATATTCTAGTGGATTTTTGGAACCGGTAGAACCGACAAAAATCGGAACCGTATATTGCTATTTCTCGAGTATCGGTTCCAACATTGAAGACACGGCAAAAACCGGAACCGTTAGAACAGGCGGTCCGATTCGGTTTCTAATTTCCACCAAGTTCTGGTTCCAGATCGATTCCGGTCCGGTTCCGACGCTCATCCCTAAGTATAAGGTTATCGTGGTTTTTTCATATTATATAGAATTTTTGTATTAGAGTATTAATAGTTTAATACTATATATAACTAAAATCATAAAAATAATTCATAATTCATAAGTATATATATATATGTATATATATATATATATATATATATATATATATATATATATATATATATATATATATATATATATATGTCATAACATACTAACATGATAAACTCATACCATATTAACTTGGTAATACATTTTGAAGATATGGTGGATAATTTATTGACTAATGTTCAAATCCGAGCTCCACTCAGTTCATGTGGCCATGAAGGTTCGTCTGTAGTGACTTTAAGATATGAAACATATAACCTCAAGTTCACAGTGGGGGATTAGTTGATGCACGAAAGCTGGCCCGGAAACCCTTGTTAGGAAAGATCATTTTCCGAAAAAAAAACATGATAATCGATAGCATAGTAACAATAATTAATAAGCTCATAAGTCATAACAAACCAACAAGTTTATGTTCATAATTCAACCAAATCCAAAAATATCAGAGTTAAACTACTATATTGTTAGTCTATTACCCACTACCTGGTTCACAAACAAAGCTCCACAATATATATAAAAGGTGGAACAAATCAATGCTTTATAATTAAGTCAACCTACAAAAAAAGGGAAATTGAGTAATGTAACCATTTTTTGAGGGTTTTTTTAAACAAAATATAACCAATTATTTTTTTTTTTGAAAACTAACCATTTGGTCCCATTTTGGACCCGAAAACCGGTCCAAGCCCAATACTGTAGCCCAATAGTATATATATGGACACACAAAAAATCAGGAATACGTGTTCTGGAATTTGCAGATCCGAAACATGATCTATCAATATTTTGGACCAAATTTTTAGCATGGATTCATCAAACCAAGTAAACTCTACACTTTATGTTATTGTGCATTTGATTTTATAAAGCGATTTACATATTCCGGAATTGCCCGGAATGGTCCGGAATATCTCCGGAATATTATGATCGAATCAATTATCCTTTTTTTTAATGTTTTTCTCGTTGTATGTGTGGTGGTTATCGAGGCCAACACAAATAATAACCCTAAATATTACACACTAAAATAGTGTATAGTGGTAAAGGGATCGAATCCACGGAGATTGGTTTAATTTATAACTCTATGAAAAAATCTCTTTGTAAAAATACTTGTAAAATGACAATAAATATAAAATGGGGGGGGGGGTTGGTGTTTTGAAACACTTGAAACAAACTAGAATTAACTATGATTTAAATAGACAAATGCAACAAAAATAAGAGTTTGATGTAAAATCAATAAGGGAGAGAAGGTTGACTTAAAGTTTCCTCACTTTGACTTTTGATGAACATATCATTAGAATCCAATGGTGCAATACTTTGATTTAAATCCTTAATTTGGCTATAGTAATCCAAGGAGCTTGAGATTACCTAGACTTTTCTTAATTGTTGAAATGGCTAGAGAAGCTCATAACAATTTCCTTAGTCAAAGTCACTAATTCCAAATAGCATGTAATTAGTGAAAGTCAACTAGCATTAAGAACCAAAAAGTCACCAAATCCAAGAGGGGTCAAATGCTTTCACCACCATGTTGGAGGAAATGTTTTTATGATTGTGTGAAGCAAAAACAACACAAAAATCATTTGTTGCTTGCTAATTTGAGGATCCTTTACTTAATCAAGAAATTAGCCAACTAATCACCACAAACACATTTAAACTCATGAACTAAAACATACAAGTAATGATAAGATGTTAAAACACAAAACATTCCCATAAAGATTCAAGAACATGTTCATGGATTCTTCAACATTCAACAAAAGTTCAAAGGATTAACCAAAAGTCAACCAAGATTAGCTTAGCCAAGCATGGCTAAACCCAAAGAAACAAAGTTAGAGAAAATTGTACCAAACATTAAGCAAGAATCAAGAGGTAAAAATATGATGTTCTTCAAGGGTTCTTGGCCTTCAAAAGTCTTCAAAACTCCAGAGAGAATCTCTAAAAATCGGATGTCTAAGAGTCTTCAAAAGATGGGCACCAACCTTCCTCAAATAGCCTTCCAAATGGATTTCCGAAATTACCCCTGCAGAGCCTTGCGCGACCCGCGTGCTGCTGCGTGGGTGGGTTGCGCGGGTGGTGCCTGACATGGGCTTCTTTGAGATTTTGGGCCTCCGAAGCATATCCCACTAGCCCAGATCGAATCCAATCACCTCCTAGCCCATTTTCTTCAAGTTTTTCTTCATTTTAAGCCCAATTTGACCTCTCCAAATCCTCCAAAGCTCGTGAACTCGCCCGATTAATAATCTACGTACGCTTGAATATTCCCCCGCATCTTGCAAATTTAAAGTTTATTTCTCTCCAAGCCTTCAAATAATCATCAAGATCACTCCATGCATCATCTCCACTACCCATCAAGCCCAACATCATTTTTATCTACCAAATCTCATCGCCTCCCATACGTCCCGAACACTCCCGCTCCGCTAGACCCGAAAACCTGCAATTATGCTCACAAGATTCGAAAGTACCCGAAATAGTCATAAAATAACAAAAAGGAAAATATGCATGGAAATTATCTAAATTATGAATGAAATATGCTAAAATAAACTATAAAAAGAAGTAAACAAAACTAACTATCGAATCACCCCAAGCTTAAACCTTACTTGTCCTCAAGTAAGACAAGACTAAAATGAACTTGGGATGAACTATCCTAGAGAAAATAAAAAGAATGGGTAGAGCCGCAGAACCTGATCACTGTTAGTCAACATGGTCAGAATTGATCTTGCTATTACCTTACGAATTTTTCATCCGATGATACTGGTACCATAAACCACAACCAGGACAACTCCTTTAGGTGAGTAAGGAGGGATGAGCAGTCGCAGCCTCAATGGAACATGCATACAATGAAGAATATATGTAGTAGGGAGAAAGCAGCTGGATGGGCTCGGGTGGAGCTCTTCTTTAAGTGTACACTCTGATCTCACATTTGTCGGTTTCTCTCATGTGTAACTAGGTTTAATCGCTCGGGCACCGTTGTAGGAATCGATTCACTTGGTGTTGGCCCAAACCTCCCATAGTATCCGACTCGACAGTCTCCCTAACATCACCAATTTGCGAAAAACAACTCGATCTATATACAATAAAACATACCTAAATAAATGAATATCAAAAGCCGGGTGACCAAAATGTTAGAAAATTTAGTTCAATAATTGAACCGGTCACCCTTCTCAGATTTCTGCAGCTGGGAATTTGTCTGCACACCATTTATTTTTATTATTATTTTTTTTAATTTTTATTTATTTATTTATTTATTTATTTATTTTATATATATATTTTTTGTTAAATGCTACCATACTTGAAGGTAATGTAATAACAACCCTTTAACTCAACATTTGGTTCCTAAAGTGTGTAAGTGGAACCGAAAGGGTAGTAATATAATCCGAATGGTCTAAGCGAGAAAATGACCATGTGTGGAGCATAAAGATATAATGTAAGATCCTCTTCCAATTTGTGAATATATATTTTTTTTCAAAAATAACGAAATTGTCCACATGCGGACTAAAAGACTTCTCTAAAATCATAAGAAAATCGCAAAAAGATATGGTGATGTAAAAAGACTGGATATGGATTCTACTCGGGGACAAGCACTAGTGCTTCATCCTAACGGTTCAAACATGATCAAGTGTGATCCTCTCGGCGGTGGTGACCGCAAGGCTAAGACATCCATTGCTATAGTATATCCTACAGTCATTAGTATTGTATGCATAATTCTTCATGAAAACTACCTGTCCATGATCACTTACCCCTTTAAGCTACCAGCATCTGATCCCAAGTATGAGGTCCCAAACTGCAGCTAATGGTCCCGGTTCGATGGGTGAGATAGCAACAAGATCCTGGACCAATAATGATACAATAACTATCAACCTGTTCTATGGCATCCAAGGAGGTGAGAATACACAGACAATAAAAATGCATGAATGTTAATGCCCTAAGCTAAATGTTATGCAAAAATATAAAAGGTGAAAAAGAAGAAAATAAAATATTTTTGGAATTTTATATAAATAAAAAAATGAATGAAAATTAGCTTAAAACTAAAATGTTATGCAACCTAGTTAAAAATGCATGAAAAAAAAGTAAAAGATAAGGGATATGCCCCACCCCAAGCTTAAGAACAAGCATTGTCCTCAGTGCTTGAGGAAAGGGCGGAAAGGACCTAAATCGGGGGGTCGGGCGGCGGGAAATGACCGTGGCGATAGTGGTAGTCCCACATATCCTGGACCTAGCGGGAAGTGTGAGGGAAGGACTGCTCCAATCGATCAACACGGCTTGCCACATCTTGGATGGCTCTCGAATTCTCTTGCGTTTGGGCGTTGATGCGCTGCACCGTGGAGAACATTGTGGCAAATTGGTCAAAGAATGTGGGGGGGGGGGGAATATGGTGGGACTTCGTGTCCCTCCTGCTGATACGGCTGGTCAAAACGTTGTGGAGGGGCCTGGAATTGATCATGCTGAAACATCGGCTGCTGCATCGAGGGTTGGTCAAAATGGTCCTCAGCTTCGGGCATCTCGTCGTCCTCTTTGTCATCTTCTTCCTCTTGTTCCTCTGCGTCGTCACCCTCATCATCACCGAATTTTGGGAATACACCTACTTGGGTCAACTGATCTGGAGGAAGCCAAGTGTCGGGGTCGTCTGTATCGAATGAAGAATCGATCCAACTTGGCAGGATGTAAACCGAGGTTTTTTCAGAGTCTAACCAACTGTACGTGCGGGTTCCCCGATCGAGCAACATCTCCATCCGGATGAGAGTGTCACAGTCTAGCAGGAAGTTCAGTGGGGTGTCGATAAGTATGTACTCGGAAGCCGGGAAGTCTAGGCCGACGGATCGACCTATGATCGTGATAAGTCCCCCGATGAAAATTTTCCCCTGAGGAACGTTGGCGTATGGAGTCGCATTTGTCTAAAAAGAATCCTGAAAAACTGAGGGGGAGTGCATGCCTCATGCTTCGGAGGAAAAATAGCTCACATCTGTTGATTTGATCGGGCTCGAGACGCCCGAAGATACTCGTCGTAAGGACTCAGTGAGCAATTCGCCAGTAGGGGTGAACGATGTGCTTGGCTCGCTGTCGGCTTGGGTTGAAGGTTGCGAGACCGGAAATTTGCATCCAAAAGTTTGCATCCAGGTAACGCAGAAAATCTTGGTACTCTTGATTTTGGGGGCTGATGCGGAGTGGATCGTCTATACCCATGATAGAATCAAGCTCTTCGTATGTGAGCCTATGATGCTCCCCTTTCAACTGGAATGTGAGGACTTTCGTGTCATCATCTCGTGCATATGTGCTAAGAAATTCCATTGTGGGTTCCTCGTAAGTTCTGTCACAAAGTCGAAGAAAACCACGCCAACCCAGTTGTATGAACAAATTGTATACACCATCATGCACCCCAAGCTTTTTCATGGACTTTCTATGGTAGAATTTTGTCGGCCGGATTGTGCGACCCCGAAGGTTGGAGCGATAGGTTTTGATCTCAGCATTTGTAAGGGAAGGATCGCTTCCCTCTTCTCCTCTTTTTTTTTCGTTTACCGGCTGCTTTGCGTGATGGACCGGCGACATCCTTTTGCGGGTTAGGATCGATCGATGATCCATGGGTGCGTGTCCGAGCCGCGGTTTTGCCCATTTTCGAAACCTACAATATCAAAAACAACTTCACCAACGTAATCCCTCACCTCACCACTCTCAAATCAATGCAACTATCTTTAGACCGAATACAAAAATTCCAAGAAATAATGACACCCAACTTTTGACAATGTAAAATGGTTTCAACAACACCACTCGGTTAATTTGACAATCCCAACAAAAATTCGGAAGCAATACGAGACAAAATGAGAAAATCCCAACCAAAGTTTAAACAATTTTTGAACAAATTTCCAAGCAAATTAACCAATCTCAACCTTTCTCAAATCAATGTTTCCAAATAAACCGGGCAACAACTAACGATCCTAGGCAATTTCCAAAGCATAATTGGATGCAATTATCGAATTGAAACAATGCAATGTAATAAAAACCAAAGAAAGAGAATACCCGTATTATCCCAAAATTGAACTTGAACCTGGAATCCGCTACCGTGCACCCCAAGCTTTGGTTATTCGTGGGTGCCAAAATGCAAGACTTGTTCATTGAAGGAATATTTTCAACTTGATTTGTGTGAAAAATCCGGCAGCGGCTCGTGGTGGCTCAAAAATTCTGAAAAAATTTTTGGTGAGATTTTGAGGTTTTGTTTGGTTAGATGTAAAGAGCCCTGAAAAAGAAACACTTTGGTGGTGTCGGAATTGCGAGAGGTGGTCGGAGTTGGCCGGAAAATGGCCGGAAAGCAGCGAGTTGGGTGGTGGTGGCGCCCTCAGACCCGGCAATGGATCAGAGTAAACTTCAGGTGGGGTTTGTAGAGCATAGAAAATTGTGAAGAATGGTGGTGGTCTCGTCGTATTCCGAACGGTGGAACTCCGGGAAATCAATTTTTTTTTGTGAAAAGTGGGTTTATGTGTTCTTGAGAGTTTGAGAGAGAATGGTGGGGTTTTTGAGAGAATGAAATGAAGAAGAAGAGTTGTTGGAGGTTTTCAATCCATATTCAAGTGTGGTCAACACCCGGTCAATGTTGGTCAACTCATTAAACCACCTGGCCAACGAAAGTCAAAGCTGGTCAACAAAATATGGGCTGGTCGTCAAAGCAGCACACGGATCGCGCAGAGGGGGCACACGGGTCACGCAGATCATGCAGTTAGGAATCTGATTTTTGTCGCAAGTTGAAGACCGGCCGCGCACACCAGCCGCGCACCCGTGGGCGGGTCGCGCAGATCCCTGCTCCCAGAAATCGATTTTTCTCTGTTTTCTTCCGTTTTTTCACTAGTTCTTGATCCCAAATGCCCCAAACACCTAGAAACTCTTGATTTCTTCAAAAATGACTTCAAAAGACGCATCAAAACATTTTCAAAACTTCTTTATTCGAACGTAGAAACATGAAAGCATAAAGCTTTCCAAAAATGTCTCTCTTTAACGTCTTAGGCGAGACGTCCTTCTAGCTTGGTTCAACACACCGGGACATCCAAGTGGATGACTTCAATAACACTTGCATTAAAACTTTCATAGAATGGCTTTAATCGGTGCCCGTTAACTTTGAAAATTTGTCCTGTTTCTTCACTTTGGATTTCCACCGCTCCATAGTCAAAAGTCTTTATTACAACAAATGGGCTAATCCACCTTGATCTTAATTTGCCCGGGAATAACTTCAATCGTGAATGGTAAAGTAAGACCCTATGTCCCGGTTCAAAATTCTTCCGGGTGATGGACTTGTCGTGGAAGAGCTTCGTTTTCTCCTTATAAATCCTTGCGTTTTCATAGGATTCGTTTCTCAATTCTTCTAGCTCTTGGAGTTGAAATTTCCTATGCCTTCCAGCCTCGTCAATGTCGAAGTTGCATTTCTTGACCGCCTAAAATGCTCGGTGCTCTAACTCGACGGGAAGATGACAAGATTTTCCAAAAACTAATCTGAATGGCGACATTCCAATCGGGGTCTTATAAGCGGTCCGATATGCCCATAAGGCATCTTCAAGTCTCAAACTCCAATCCTTCCTTGTCGGATTCATCGTTTTCTCTAGAATAGACTTCACTTCACGATTCGAGACCTCCGCTTGACCATTCGTTTGAGGGTGATAGGCAGTAGAGACACGATGAGTCACGTGATACTTCTTCAATAGAGCCTCCATCATTTTGTTGCAAAAGTGCATCCCTCTATCACTAATCAAATCCCTAGGCACACCAAATCTCGCAAAAACATTAGACTTTAAAAACTCGATAACCGTTTTGGCATCGTCCGATCTTGTGGCTTTGGCTTCAACCCATTTAGAAACATAGTCAACCGCGAGTAAAATATAAACGTTGCCAAATGATACGGGAAATGGGCCCATAAAATCAATCCCCCATACGTCAAAAATTTCACAAACAAGGATTGGATTTTGGGGCATTTGGTTCTTTTGCGAAATGTTTCCCGTCCTTTGGCACTGCTCACAACTTTTGCAAAACATATAACAATAGCGTGACATGGTTGGCCAAAATAATCCACACTCAAGGACCTTTCTCAAAAGTCCGGCTAGGTCCGAAGTGTCCCCCACAAGCAAATTCATGACAGAATTGCAAAATGGATTGGTGCTCTTGTTGGGGCACACATCGCCTAATGATTTGATCGGGACAATGTTTCCACAAATAAGGTTCATCCCACACATAGTATTTTGCATCACTTTTCAACTTGTCTTTTTGAGCACGTGTGAATGTGTCGGGATACCTTTTTGTGACCAAAAAGTTAACGATATCGGCATACCAAGGAATAGATTGGGTAAGGGAAAAGAGATGCTCATCCGGAAACTCGTCCCGCAATGGGAGAGGAGTTTCATTTGAAGTGACCCAACTTAGATGATCGGCAACGAGGTTCTCGCATCCGCTCTTGTCCCGGATTTCCAAGTCAAATTCTTGTAACAGTAGGATCCACCGGATGAGTCTCGGCTTTCCATCTTTCTTCGTCATCAAGTACTTAAGAGCTGCGTGATCCGAATACACTATGACCTTGGTACCAAGTAGGTATTGTCTAAATTTCTCCAAGGCGAACACTATGGCCAATAGCTCCTTCTCCGTGGTAGAGTAGTTGCTTTGAGCATTGTCTAGTGTCCTTGATGCATAATAGATCACATGGGAGGCCCTCCCATTCTTTTGACCCAAAACGACACCTATCGCATAGTTGCTTGCATCACACATGATCTCAAAGGGGAGATCCCAATTTGGTGCTTGCATGATGGGAGCGGATGTAAGCAACTCTTTGAGCTTGTCAAAAGCTTCTTTGCACGCCTCATTGAACTCGAAATCGACCTCCTTTTGCAAGAGTTGGCACATTGGTCTTGTTATCTTTGAAAAATCCTTGATGAACTTTCGGTAGAAACCTACATGGCCCAAAAAAGAACGAACTTCCCGAACACAAGTCGGGTAAGGTAAGCTTTGAATAATATCAATTTTGGCCTTATCTACCTCAATTCCTTTTTTAGACACAATGTGACCCAAAATGAGACCTTGACTCACCATGAAATGACATTTCTCAAAATTCAAAACCAAGTTTGTTTCAATGCATCTTTTTAAAATTTTTGTGAGATTAGTCAAACATTCTTGAAAAGAGTTGCCATATACCGTGAAATCATCCATAAAAACCTCAATTATGTTTTCAACGTAATCCGAAAAGATACTAACCATACAACGTTGGAAAGTGGCCGGGGCGTTACACAATCCAAATGGCATTCTCCGGTATGCAAAAGTACCAAATGGGCATGTAAATGTTGTCTTTTCTTGGTCCTCCGGTGCCACCGGGATTTGGTGAAAACCAGAGTACCCGTCTAGACAACAATAATGGGATTTCCCGGCCAACCTTTCTAACATTTGGTCAATGAAAGGCAATGGGAAATGATCTTTTCGTGTGCTTGCATTGAGTTTGCGGTAGTCAATACATACTCTCCACCCGTTTTGCACACGGGTGGGGACCATCATACCTTTGTTGTTCTCGACCACCGTGATTCCCGTCTTCTTTGGAACGACTTGCACCGGGCTCACCTACTTGCTATCCGAGATTGGATAGATCATCCCTGCATCAAGAAGCTTTAATATCTCTTTCTTCACAACTTCCATCATTGGTGGATTTAACCTTCTTTGCGCGTCTCTACTTGGCTTGCATTCATCCTCCATTAAGATCTTGTGCATACAAGTGAAG